AAAGCTTCTAGTGCCAATCCTGTGATAAAAAGGGTGAGAATTAGTATGGAAATTAAGAAAGATTTTGAAGGGTTTGGGGCTAACCCTGGAATCCACTGTGCCTACTTCGAAGATTAAAGAAATGTGTGCAAAGTTGGTTGAACTGCAAACCTTTATGGATGAAAATCACCCTAACACAGCTACTGCAAGCCGTGCTGGTGACTATTACAATGACAATGTTGTGGCCCATTTTAGAGAAATCGTAAAGGAACGGGAGGTACAGAGCTCTATGGACAGATATGTTGTGCGACAGAGGTCCAGTGACTCAAGCTGGTCCTAGTGGCATTAAAAGAAGAAGGGAAGTAACCTGGGAAAATTACTTGACACCTCAAGTCCTAATGGAAGGGGATTCCCCTTCTAAACACTAACACCATCCACACTCTCCCTTCCTCCCATCCCATCAATCATCACCAGATCTTCAATAAAGGTAAGTGTCATGTAATTGTACATGTCTTCTTCAGTTTGTGTGTATTAAAATTAATATTTCATGTGGTAAAAATTTTTTTTTTCAATACTTTGGGGTATCAGGAACGGATTAATTTGATTTCCATTATTTCTTATGGGGAAAACTAACTCGACTAATGATAATTTCGACTAACGATGAGCTCTAAGGAACGGATTAATATCGTTGGTCGAGGGTCCACTGTACTAGTGTCAGAACAAAGATTGGTTATGAAATGACAAGAACTACTATAAACTGTAATTATAAGAACATAAAAATTATATAAAACAATATGAAAAATAGAAAAAAAAAGGTATATCGGTAACACTTCTGCAAGTGGATTTTACAAAATATTCGGGGCACTGGGGTAGTGAACGTATATATACGTTTGGACAGTTTACAGGTTTAAGGAGGGGTTTGGGATATTGGCAGTTTGGAGGGATATGTTGTGTATCTTTATACGTATATGCTTCTAAGCTGTTGTATTCTGAGCACCTCTGCAAAAAGTGATTATGTGAAAGTGTTGAATGATGACGAAAGTATTTTCTTTCTTTTTGGGTCACCCTGCCTCGTTGGGAGATGGCCGACTTGTATAAAAAAAAAAAAAAAAAAAAAAAAATGCAGTCTTGAAGACTAGTAGTGATTTTAATGTGTACCTGCATGCCAGCACAGTGTGTAAGTTTATTTAGGTACAGATACACATAGTTATAATTATCAGAGTATATAAAATATGAAATTACTTTAAAACACTTGAAATTTTGGAAAGTTTCTAGACATAATGGAGTTGTGCTCATGGAGAATGTAAATGAACCGGGTGGGGCATGGTGACCGTATTAGAAAGTCAGGTGGGGTGAGCCATATGGAGAATTTTGGTCATAATTTGAAATGTCCGTATTAACGGAACACCATAAAGCGTGGACCTACTATACATATTTTAAAAAGAAGGATAAATAAGTACATAAGATATACTATAGAATATAATGGCCGCAGTTTGTTAGACTATATATTGGTGAATAAAAGGTTGATGTGTAGACTTCTGGATGTGTGTGTTTTTAAAGTGCCAACAGATACATCAGATCATTATTTAGTTGTAGCTACAGTGAGAGTGAGAGGTACATGGAGTACAAGGAGAATGGTGTCAGTAAGAGATAAGTGAAAGTTTATAAAATAGAGGTGGTAGTTAGTGTAATATATCAACAACTTAAGTAAAAAGAAGAAAAGCTTTGTTAGGTTTTCTTCTTTTTTTTTGGGTAACCATGCCTCAGTGTGAGATGGCCAGCATGTTAAAAAAAAAAAAAAAAAAAAATGATGAGATGCTGGAGTGTGAGCAAGGTAACATTTGTGAAGGGATTCAGGGTACCCAGTTAGCCAGACTTGAGTCTTAGAGGTGGGAGGTACAGTCCTGCACTCTGGAGGGGGTAGGAATATCTACAGTTTGGTGAGGCATCTGAACTGTAGTATCGGTGCTCCTCTGGCAAGACAGTGATAAAGTGAATGATGGTGAAGGTGTCTCTTCGTTTTTGGGTCACTCTACCTTAGTGGGAGATGGCTGTTAAAAGAAAAAAAAAAAACCCATAAAATGACCAATTTTTTTTTAAACACATCGGCCATTTCCCACTGAGTTCATATTATTTAGTAAATATCAGATCAAGAAATATGAAATCTAAAAAGTCTCCAAAATGAATCTATACTTTATATGTTACACTGGTTTGCTTTAAGTGCCATGGACCAGGAAGACATCCATTGCAGAAAACAAGTGAGATCTGTTTAATAAACATAAATACAGATATACAGTAGACAAAAATGGTAGACCTCCATCTTGATCATAGTGTTAAATATTTTCCAATATATGTTCAAGTAATTAAAATTTGCAACATACTAATTTTATAACTGAATATCTAAACCAAACATTATACTAAAAATTATAAATATTCACTGCATATGCAGCAAACCCTTATATTACACAGACTTATTTGGCATATTCTGGTTATAGCACTACTGAAAATTTGTGGCACAATTTTATACAGCACTTCATAAAATTAACTTAACACAGTTCTGTTTGCAGGTGAGGAAAAAATTTCCCCAGCCCAGGTTGCTGCCTTGTTGTGGCTCAGACCATTGTCAGTGGGGGAAGACCTACCGCCATCCCCTGCCACCCCCGACACTCCTGCCACCCCTATCCCAGCCTTCGTGAATATGTGTCCAGTACCATTCTCTTCTAGGAGCTAGCTGTATTTGTGATTGTGTTTTGATCTTTTAATTGCCATATCTTGTATCTGCCAAGCAATCATGGCACCCAGTAGGCATACAAGTGTCGCTAAAAGTGGCAAGAAAAGGGATAAGCATTTAAGTCTTAGAGTTACGAAGAAAATAGAGATATTAGACAAGAGAGAGCCTATGGCCTTAACCCTTTGGGGGTTTCGGCAGTACTAGTATGGCTTACACCCCAGGGTTTTTTGACGTACTAGTACGCCTAAATTCTAGCGCCCTCAAATCTAGTGAGAGAAAGCTGGTAGGCCTACATATGAAAGAATGGGTCTATGTGGTCAGTGTGCGCAATATAAAAAAAATCCTGCAGCACACAGTGCGTAATGAGAAAAAAAACTTTGACCAAGTTTTTGGATTAAAACAGCGACTTTGCACTGTATTTTCGTATGGTATTTATTGTTGTACGTGTGTATTCTAGTTTTCTTGGTCTCATTGTATAGAATGGAAGACATATTACAGAAATTGAGATGATTTTGACTGGTTTTACAATGAAAAGTACCTTGAAATTGAGCTCAAAGTAGCAGAAATGTTCGATTTTTACCAAAGCTCAAAAGTAAACAAATCATGCCAAGTGTCCAATACTCATCAACTGGTGAGTCTAATATTCTTTCACAAGTGCGCTGATATTATTTATACCATTTCTACACTAATGCAGTAGTCTGCATAACAGTAAATCTATTTTTTGTAAGAATAAAAATTCAAAGTGGAAAGAAAAAGAAATATAAGAGGGGCCTGGGGATGTGACTAATGAACAGAAAACTTGTTATTTTAGTGCCAGTAGTGTCTTTCTTGTTTATTCTGGACCCTATTCGGAAATTGGCATCTTTTGAAATTTGTGTGAAATTGGCAAAATTGCTAAATTCTGACCACTTTATTGGATAGTTGAAATCGGTAAATGGGTGGTTTCTTGTACTCATTTGATAGAAAAAACGGAGTTCTAGCGAAATAGTTATGATTTTTGTCGATGGTACAGTGGAATTGGCTGAAAATAGGGCTCAAAGTGGGCAAAATCGCCGCGACCGCTAATTTCACAAGAGCATAATTCCATAAGTTTCATACTTTTGGTGTCATTATGATCGGGAAAAGATTCTCTATTTTTTCATAAGAATTTTTTTTTTTTTTTAAATTTTGGCAGCCCTGAGAACAAGTCTCTGAGAGGGCCTGGCGACCCTCAAAGGGTTAATGAAGCATCAGTTTATACAATTAAAAAAAATGATGTAAATATACGAATTTGTGTGATGAATAACAGACTTACTTGACTGACTTATTTGACTTGACTGCTTTATTGACTGACTTACTAATTGACTTAACTGATTTACTGACTGACTTGACTTACTGACTTGACTTTTTCACTGAAGACGACCCTGACAAATCTACACGCAATGCTCTGAAATGGTGTGTAGAGCAGCTGATACCTTACTGTCAGCTATATAATGTACTGCAAGGTAAAATAGCCCAGAAATTCATTACAGAATTTATGCACACTTCAGTACACATATCGACTTCAGTACCAGAACCTCTACCATCCACCTCAGTCCTGTAGGACCACAACATAACTCTCCACTCTCTTCACAATCATCAACACCAGCACCCACAATTTAAGGTAAGAAATACTATTATTTCTGTTACAATTGTAGTCTTAAGCAGTAAAAGCAACATAATACATCACGACAATGAACAACAATTACATATTCACTTTTATTTTTGCAAGACCTGGAGGTCTAAAAAATATAGTACACCTACCATCCGACTTACGACCGAGTTCAGTTCCGAGAAACCGGTCGTAAGTCGAAATGGTCGTAAGTCGAACTTTACTACTGAATATCAACAAAACATTTTTGTAATGACTTTATTTTATTGTTTTATTTTGGTATTTCATGTTTTACTTTACTTTTTATGTTGTTAGTACTGTATTTTATACTGTAAGGTTTAGGATAAACACTGCGTACAACATAAATAGTTGTTTATTTCCCAGAAATTTGGCATAAAAAACACGGTCGTAAGTCGAGTGGTCATAAGTCGAGCAGGTCTTAAGTCGGATGGTAGGTGTAGTTTGGCTTTCTGGGGGCTCCCAGGAATGTAACCCTATTTTTCCCACGAGTTCTTCAGTTTATCTAACATGGCATTTTCTGGAAAGTAACTACCATGTAAGGGCCTACTGTATACAGCAATGCTTCCAGGTTCCTACCTCTTTTCCTATTCACTCTTGAGTTGATAATGCAGTAACATTACATGTGGAACATATACTTACTGGTAAATTAGTGAATGCAGTAAATGTTGAGTTAAGGAATGCTATGAGATCAGTAACATAGGAAGATGAGGTGCCTTGAGGTTCTGCTAACATCCAATCATAAGAAGCTAAGTCCAAGAATTCATCTATCTTCAGTCTGAGAGCTATGTAAATTTGCTCCTCTGCCTCTCCTCGTATATCCTTGAACATGGCTTTACCCTGCAGTCTTCCCACACCGGGTTTACTGCTGTCTTCTATGCTCCTGAGTGAAGAAAAATAAAGAACATCCTTATGTAAAAATAACATAATACAAGAAGCAGATTTTTTTTTAACATGCCAGCTATTTCCCACCAAGGCAGGGTAACCCCCCCCCCCAAAAAAAAAAAAAAAACCCACTTCAACCATCATTCACACATAATCATTGTCTTTGCAGAGGTGCCCAGACCAGTTTACATGTCACTCCAAACAGCTAATATCTCAAACTCCTCCATTAGCTCTTTCAGGTCCGTGCCGTAGATCTACGGCTTTACGTTGAGGGTCCACACCGTAGATCTACGCCATGAGCTCAGCTCACTCTGATAAGCTGTGAGCAGTAAATTTGGGCCTAGATATGAGAGAATACATCTATGTGGTATGTGTGCACCACTGTTATGCAGGGTTCTCCATGACATCGTATGTACATATTAGTGGGGAAGTGTGCCATAATAATATGAATATTGTAGTTGTAAGGAATAATTTTATAATTCATAATGTGCTTTTGGAGGTACTGTAAAGTACTCTAACTATAATTATAAAGAATGGAGTTAGTGATTTATTTTCCAAGGATGTTTGGGTACGCGAGTAAGCGTGGGGGAGTAGGTCACGTGGTTGGATGGCGGTTTTAGAAGTGGCGGGGGAGTGCTGTATTTTTTTAATTTAAAGTTTGCATAATACATTTTTTGTTTTCCAATTAAAGCCATAGGCTTTCATTGCTTACTGTATGAAACCCAGGCACTGAATGGCAGGGTGTGTGGGATGAGTGAGAAGTAAAAAAAGAGGTTTGTGGTGTAGACGGCCTGCGCTGCGAAGCCTGTGTTTTGGTGGGAACCTCCAGCCAGCTGTGTGTCCCTTCATTTGGGCGTGTAGAATTAAGGTTTTTTTTGTTATGGTGATTTAAAAAGATATATTTTCTAATTTGGGGATTTTTGCCCAACCCTCTTTTAAACCCCCCCCCTTTAAAAGAAACACATAGGGTTTTAGCGCTTTCTGTTTTTAAAGGGGGATACCCCGGGGGGGCCGGTTTGGGGCTTGGTTGTGTAATTTTACTTTGCCCTTAGACCAGGCTCAACCCCCCGCTTACCACTTTTTTTTGCGTAACATGGGGGCCTGTCAAGGGGAGGAGAATTATAAAATTTTTTTGGGGTTTAATTTAAGTTTGAAACCCGGGAAAAGTCAATAAAATTCTTTACGGGGTTTGGGTCAGAGGAAACTTCACTAAACACTACACTAAAAAAATAATTTCCCTTTGTTGTAATATTGCTATTTTTTAGGGTGTTATTTTTAATTTATCCCCGTAAAATAATTTACTTTTTGTGCAACTTTGCTAGTTTTTAGGGTGTTTTTTTTTAACTAATCCCCTGTGAAAAATTTACTTTTTGTGGAAACATTGTGTTTTTGGGGTGTTATTTTTAATTTAATACCCTGTGAATAATTTACTTTTGTGTGAAATATTGCTAGTTTTTAGGTGTTTTTATTACAAATCCCCTGTGAATAATTTCCTTTTTTTGAAATATTGCTGGTTTTTAGGGTGTTATTTTTAAATTAATACCCTGTGAAAAATTTTCCCCTTTCTGTATAAATTTTGCGGGTTTTTGGGGTTTTTTTAAATTTAAATGCCATAAATCTTTCCCTTTCTGTACCTATTTTTGATTTTTAGGATGTTAAAAATATTGATGTTTTGTGCATAATTTACCAGGCAATTGCGGGGATTTTTGGGGGGTTTATGCTCCCCAAATTTTTGGAAAAAATTTCCCTTTTGAAAGTGCAGTAGCTCTTTTATTTTTTTTTTTGCCAGGATTTTTTTTTTGTGTGCAGTTCTCTTTTTTTTGGGGGTCACATGAAAACCCCTTTGGGAAATTTTCCCTACTTCAGTATATGTCCCCTTGCTGTTGTTTATTTTTTTATATCAGTAAGTTCTGTGGCTGGTAGTAAGATTTGGTGTTTATTTCCCAAAATGGCTGACACTGGGAAAATTCGGGGGGTGACATGCTTTGGAAAGGTGACATTGAATCAAACCCCAGAAGGGCCCGGGAAAAGGGAAGTGAAATTTTACAAAAAAAATTAAAACCCTATTTGCAGAAAAAAAGGAAAAGGGTTTTTAAAAATTTGAGGTAAAAAGATCCGGGAACAGGGAGCCTTAGAGGAGCTTAGGGCTAAGAAAAGCAAAAAGAGGCCACTTGCTTCTCACCAGACACAGAAAAAGGGGTAGTGTTTTTTTTTGGATAAAGCCATAAAATTTGTCCCAAAATTTCCCTAGAGAAAGCCCCAGCCCAGTTTTTTCTTTTATTTGAAAGTAGGGCCAAACCCCAAGGTTTGGCCCGGAAAGGGAAAATGGGCGACTTGAAAACCCCCAATTAGTTGGTAAAGGGTTACAGGCTTTAGTTTTTAAAAGGATTGCCTTTTCGTTTTAAAAGCAAAAAGAGGTAGTTTTATGGTTATCAAGTTGCGGAAACGTTACAGGCAGAAATTTCAGGGACTAAAGTTTCGTCAGGGCAGTCTTTGGTGGAAATATGGTAAGGAGAAGATGTCATTTTAAAATGGTGGTGTCGCTCAAAGGGGGGGGGTAGGAAATTATGAAGGTGTAATCCTTATTTTTTTAGAGGATCTTTTGGGAAAAATGTTCCCCTGCCCTTTTAAGGCATATCTTGGGGGAAGGATCTTGATTTTTTAAATAATGTTTTTGAGTGGGGACAGTTTTTTTAGCAAACCAAAAATTTGGTAGCAGTTACCCACCCACATACTAATAAGGGAAAGTTTTCTCCCCCAAAAAATAGGAAAAAGAAATTTCAAAAGTTTAGCCCCCCTTTATCAGCTAATAACCACAAGGGTTTTAAAAACCCCTAATTTTCCAGTCCCCACTCGGGAGGTTTTTTAAGTCAGTGTCACAGGCCCGGACTAAAAGGAAAGGGGACGAGCCCATTTCCCCCAAAACCCAAGGGGATAAAACCTAGGTCAGATGGGCGGGGGGGTTTTTAAACCTTATACTGTAATATTGCAATAAACGGGGCCCCACCTCCCAGCCATTTGTCGAAAGAGCTTAGGGACCAGGCTGCGACAGATGTTCTCCAGAAATACCCCAATTACACTGAGTGGCTTGATTGCAGTTTTGCCCAAGGTATCCAAAGAAGCCCAGCAGTTTTTTGACCCTCGGTGAAGGTTTTCAAGAAAAAAGTCTACTGTGGCCTTCCCCCCCCCAAAAAAATGAAGGGTTTAGGGTGGGGTGTTATGTTTTGAGGGCCCTTTTGAGAATTACACCTTGCCCTTCAGGGGGTGTTTCCCAGTTCGGATGAACTACAGGTTGGGAATTTTTAATTTGGGATAACGGGGGGTAGGCTCCGTCACAGGTTTGGTGGTCTGGACCCAGCGGGTACCCCCTTTGGAAAATTGCAGGGCCCTTTTTGGGAGTTGCCCTTTTATGGAACTGGGGGATTAAAAAAGGGGGGTTTTTGGTTTTCAGGCGGCTTCAAAGGGGGGTTACCCAATTGGGAGAACGGTCCTGTTTTCTTCTTTCCCCCAAAAAACCCCGGGGCAAGGGTTCCTGTGCTCACTGTGACCCTTTTTGCACACTGTGGTGATGGTTTGGGCTGGGGAGCCTGTTATTGGTCGCCCCGCGGAAAATTCTGAGCGTGAGAACCGGTCAAGGAAACTCGTTGGGGAAAGTGGTCTTGGTGCTGATGTGGGAAAAAACCCCCCGACTCTGCAGCAGCTGAGTGACCCCGGGAAGGTTGTGACCCCCGGACGCAAACATTTATCAGTTGTCGGGAGGATGTGGTTCCCAAATTTACCAAGTGTTTATTTTGCAGAGTTGATCAAATGAGCAAGACTTTTTAAGAGGCCCGTGCCGTGGGGCTGCAAAAAGTTAAAGTATTTTGTCAGTATTTTTTACAGATTCTGAAAGGGTGGCATTTCGTGTTAAAATGGGAGGCTAAATAATCAGTGTTTATTTAAAAAATTCCTTTTTTAAAAGGTTCCCGAGTCTGTACCCTTTTGAATAAATTTTTTGTGTGTGGTTTTTAGATTTCTGGTGAACATTTTTTCTCTTAGGCTTTGCACAAAAACCCCCCATGTCTTTTTTTATGAAATGTCATGTAGTTTTGAGAGGGCCCACTTGAGGTTAAAATTTACCAAAAGTATATCATCCAGGGGTCAAAGAAAAGCTCCATGGTTTTCCCGTCTCTCAGGGCAAAGATATTGTTTTTTCCCTTTCCAGAAGGATGGGGGGAGGGGGAATTTCCCCCCCCTTTTATTATGTGGGGGGAAGCACTTGGAAATTAGTAAGGTGTCGTGAGGATGGTGTTTTTTCCCCCGGGGTGTTTTTTCTGGGGTTTTAGAAAAATTTTTGGCTAGATGAGGTCGATGGTGTGCCCAGTCGCCAGTCCGCCCCGGATGACGTGGGTTTTGGGTTGCTACACATTTTGGGGTGGAGAGATGGGGTTTGGGATTTGGAAACCGGGTCCCGGAAGGCTTTTCTGTTTTGGTGACTTCAAAATGAGTGGATAAAGTCCTGAGAAAGATAATGTAAGCAGGAAAATTTTAAGAGATTGTGGAAAATTTGGGTCTTTGAAAAAATGGTTGAAATGTTGGCCAGCCGTGGTGCACCTTAGTGAAAAAGTTTTGGGGGTGCTGAAAATGGGGCCCTGTTAAACCCCCTGAGGTAGAGGGTTTCCCAAATTTTTTTGGGAAAAGTCAGCAGGTCTGCATGATGTAAATGGGGTGAAATGGTTCCTTTAAGGAAGTGAATGTTTATTTCTGGACTGTATTTGTATCCAGGAGAGTCGGTGGAGTTGTTTTTTACTGGTCCCACTAGGTGATACCTTGAAAAACGTGCATGCTGCCGCGGTACAGTTAAAAAAAAGGTTTTGTCTCCTTTTTAGAAAAACATGAAATTGTGTGAATGAACAGTGGGGCGCATCTGTTCCACGACCATGTGTGCCAGGCACAAACCCCTATTTGCAAATTTTAATATCTCGCCAGTACCTTTTTTATGCATTAACCCCCAAGATT